AAATTGGATCCCAGCATGTTGGTTCCCAGGGCTGAGACTTGATGGCTAGGTTCCCATTACATCAGAGTCTTGGCCCGGGACTAGTTTGTCTCCCAACTTTCTCACAGAAAAGTGGGGAATGTAGCAGCTCCAAGGCCCACAAGCCATGTGAGCAGCCCTGTGGTCATGGCACTAACAATGAGCGTGTAACGTAAGGTGACAGGAGTGCAGTGCTGGGCCTTCTTGGGCAGTTCCCACTGATGGTTTCTGTGTTTTAAATACCCATAGTGTCTTGCTAATCCAAGGAGGAGTTAATTAATATTGAAAACTAATATTTATGTCTAACAGACCTGAAACTGGTTCTTCTGCATGAGTTTAACTGCTCCCGACTGGACTGGCTCCTGATACAGAAAGTGTGCATGAGTATACATGTGTCCAGATGGCATTTTATTTCTGCTGCTGACAGCAATTCATTTTTCTTTAGTACAAGATATGGAACAGTTTTATGAACTGTGGCTAAAGAGTCAAAAAAGTGAAAAAAGTGATGATGTACTCAGTCAAACAAACAAGGAAAATGGAAAACAAATTCACATGCCAACAGATTATGCTGAAGTGACTGTAAGTACCATTGGCCATTTCTCCTTTCCTTTGCTTGGATCCCTCAGTGGAAGGCTTTCCCTTCCCAGTCTCCAAATCCTGGTTCTGTCACCCGCTGCATGCCCTTCTTGGGGTTATCCTCTTTTCTGTTGGTGGTTTTCTGCCATTAGCGTCAGTCTTCTCATGCCCTAACATCCTTGCCTTGACCCTTTTTCTCAACTGTGAATCTAAGGCCTGGGTCCTCCTTACCATCCTGGGTCCCTGGGCAGTCTCCAGGTAGGGTTGTCATGGTGAGTGAAATGTAATGAAGTGTGTGACACTTAACCTGGGGGGTAGGCCACAAGAAGGACTCAGGAAGAGTACGCTGTCTGGTCCCTACCCCCAGTCCTTTTAAAAATTATTTTTTATTTTGAGACAGGGTCTTGCTAAGTTGCTAAATTGTCTAGACTGGATTCAAACTTGTGATCTTTATGTGTGGGTATGGAGGTTTGTGTTGTTTCTTGTTGTTTTTGAGTGTCTCGCTATGTAATTCAGGTTAGCCTTCAACTCTTGTTGGTCCTCCTGCCTCAGACTCCTGAGTGCGAAGGTTACAGGGAAGCACTCCCCTCCTCTGGGCCTTTTTAAAATGTACATTCATAAATGTGTGTATCATTCTGCTACATGTTTCTTTGAGGGGGGAGTGTCATTTCTCATGGGGAGTTGGTGCATGTGCTGTACATAACACCTTTTTCTTGTTTTGGTGCTGGGAATTGAACTCAGGACCTCATATCATGCCCTGAGTTATATCCCTGGCCCACATAGCACATCTTAATTCTGTTGTCAGCTCTTCCCCCCCCCCCCTTTTCCTCCTCTTACCTCTCACTCCTCTTCCTTTTTGCAAAAGCTCTATCTCCCTATTTTCATATTACCTTTTATTTTGGTCTTTATATTTGGGTTTCTTATACAGGCCACTTGCAGGATTCAGCTATTATAAACTGTGCTGTTATAAACCTGGATATGCATGTATCACTGTAATATGATGTCCTTAACCCTTTCAGGAAGATTCCTGGAAGGGGCATTGCTGTGTTGAATGCTGCTTCTTGGGCTTCTGTATGGCCTGCTCTTTCTTGTGTAGGGAGGATAGTAGAGATGCTACCCAAACACTTAAAAGTTTGCATCTGCCATAGCATTTGAATCTCACCTCCTGAGGCAGTCTGTCCCCTGCAGGGCCAGCTTCATTTTATTGTTGTTGTTTTGAGACAGTCTTGCTATATGTTCCAGGCTGGCATTGAACTATGTAGCCCAGAGTGGCGTGGAACTCGCTGCGGTCCTCTTGCCTCACCCTCCCAAGGCTGAGTTTACAGGAATGTACCCTGTATCCAGATCAGGACCAGCTTCTCTGCTTTGTGGCTCAGTTTGTGGGCATCACATGGAGCTGTTGTTGTCTTTCCAGAGTAGCACACCTTGACCTTTCACACCTCCCTCTTACCGCCACTGACGGCCACATGTCTTCTCCACCCTTAGGCGGATTTTCACTGCTGGATGTGCGGAAAGAACTGTAATAGTGAGAAGCAGTGGCAGGGCCACATCTCTTCAGAGAAGCACAAGGAGAAGTTCTTCCACACCGAAGACGACCAGTACTGCTGGCAACACCGCTTCCCAACAGGATATTTTAGTATTTGTGAGAGGTATGTAGATCTGTAGTTTTCTGCATAAAATGGCTGATATTTTATAAGGTGAGCACTACGTCCATAGAAAGAGGACATCTCTGTGGTCGAGTCTGGACCATTTGGGTGTTGCCTCAAGGTGTTTAGTTGCTCAATGAATAGCTTGTCACTCTCCTGGGGCATATATGACAAGACTCAGTGGCCTTTGGAGCCTGGCTTAATCTGTGTCGAGGTAACCGAATAGAGAAAGAAATGTGTTCATTCAGTTTCACCCTAATAATCTTGGCATTCTCAACTGTGATTCTCTAACTGGTTGCCATAGCCTTTGCACAAAACTGATGTCTATCCAACTGGAGATAGCTTTTAAGTTATATTTCAAGGGCAAATCTGGAACTCATATCAAAGGAAAATGGTAGCTTAATAATATCACTCTTGTTTTCTTAGAAAATATTTCAATGAAAACTGGATAATTCGGAAATATTTTTCATTTTACAAATATGTTCCATTCCAAATTTAGAACCATGGATTCTTAAAACCATTTAAAACATTTTTTACTTAATGTCATTTCTGGTGTCATTCTGCTGCATTAATAATGACTGCAGCTCTTTCCCTACCAGCCAGCAATTGTTTTCTTTTTTCCCTTTTTTTTTTGGTATTGGAGATCAATCCCTGGGCTCTATGCACACTAGGCAAATGCTCTACACTGAACTTCACCCAGCCCCAAGTCAGTACTTTTCAGTGAATACATTTTTTTAAAAAATGTACTTGGTACAGTCTACAGGGTCTCATTAGACAGATCAGACTCTTAGTGATCCTCCTGTTTTCAGCCTCCTAAGCGCTGGGATTACAGGCGCACACCACCATGCCCAGTCTTACTCACTGTCTCAGTGTGCCCCAGGGGTGGGGCCAGCACTAGGCATGCTGGGGATTGAACCACAGTCCCTGCAACTGCCTAAGCAGGTGCTTTAGTCGGCTGAGCTATCTGACCGGCCCACTGAATACATTTAAATAGTTTAAAATCCTAATTCCTCTCTTCTCAGTGTCATGTCTATAAAATATTCACTTTTAAAAGTTTAAAATTCCGGGGCTGGTGAGATGGCTCAGTGGTCTAAAGCACCTATTTAGAACAAGCTTAGCAAAGCACAGGGACCACGGTTCAATCCCCAGCACCACATGCCAGCCAGCCCCGCCCCCTGTGGGCTGAGCTGGCCACACACACACACACACACACACACACATAAATAAATAAAAAATAAATAAATAAATAACAGTTTAAAATTCCTATAGGGCATGGTAGTACATGCCTGTAGTTGCAGCATTTGGGAGGCTGAGGCAGGAGAATCACTGCAAGTTCAAGATCACCCTGGGCTACATAGGGAGTTCAAGGGTGCCTGGGCTAATTATAAGGAGCTTGTCTTGTCTAAAAAAAAAAAAAATTCCTAATTGGGCCTGGTGATGTGCTAAGTAGTTGTGAGGCCTGAGTTCAATCTCTAGCATCAAAAAGAGAAAGATTTTTGGATAAAAGTTATATGCAATTCACAAAGGAGATAAAGAATATATTTGTCATTAATTGCAGCTGGTTTTTTTTTTTTTTTTTTTTTCCCCACTTAAATATACTCAGGTATTTTATTCTGGTTCAGCAATATTTTTACTGATGAACAACCTGGAAGGAAACAAATGTAAATAGGTAGATATGCCGTGAGCTATTTTGAGAGCCTTTGCTTGACCGTTAGCATCCTCTTTTCATCCGTTCCTTTGCCTTCCAATAGTATATTTCAGGGTCTTCTATCAGCCTCTCATTGCCACTGCACAGCATTCTCCTCATCCTGGAAGTGCTGGTACATGTCACTGAACAGTTGATTTTGACGTCTCAAACTTTGTTGAGGCTTTTTCAATAATATTCGCAAATAGATGTGTCTTTCCATTGACTTTGAAGGGACACTTTTTCGTTCTTCCTAAGCCTTGAACCTTTGGAGGAGACATGCTCTGTCCAGTGATCTTGGTGGAAACCTCCAAACTGATACAGGGAGAACAACTGGTCTCGGGTGGGTGACCTCCAAATGATACAGGGAGCCTCCAAATGACATAGGGAAAAATGTTCTCCTGACCTGACCTGCACGAGTTTGTGTTCTCTAAAACCGAAGAATGAATTTTAGGAACAAACGGAGGCTATGAGTAGAATATATTTATTGAGGGAAAGAAAGCTCCTGCCCGAGAGATGGACAGGAAGGTGGCCCGAGCGGGTTGTTACCCCTGCAGCTCAGTTTTTATAAGTGACTTTACTAGGCCACTATCTTCTCACAGGTATATGAATGGAGTCTGCACGGAAGGAGGCAGCTGTAAATTTGCACATGGAAATGCTGAGCTGCACGAATGGGAAGAAAGAAGAAATGCCCTAAAAATGAAGCTCAGCAAAGCACGAAAAGATCACTTAATTGCCCCAAATGATAATGACTTTGGAAAATATAGTTTTTTGTTTAAAGATTTAAACTAATATACTGGCTTTTATGTAACCCAATCAGAGCATTGAGCATAAAAATTGAAAGTGTTCTGAGGCACATAGCAGAGGAGCTGCAGGCTTCCTGCTAGCATTGGCGTATATCGTTCCTCCTGAGCAGCACCCAGTAGGTAGGAAAACAGGCTGGTTAGCAGGTCTGGCCAGGCGCTCCTGGAGCCATTGGCCTCGCATGGCGAAAGCGATGCTGCTGGTTGCCATCTGTTGAACAGACTTTTGGATGAAGTGTTGGGGAAGAGAATAAGGTTATGCCTAGGGCAGCTCTTTGAGTTGGTCCTTCCAGTAAGAACCATGATGATGAAAGAATAAACACTTGTACTGGGGTCAGAATACATGATGGATGAAAATCTTTACATGATTTAGTGGAACGAATTTAATATAATAAAAGTTTGCTACTTATCTGTATGTAGGTTGCTAAAAAGGATTTTCTTAACTCAGATTCTAAGGCAGATAACCATTTAACACTCGTATATGTTAAATGGGGTATTTTTCTGTATTTGTATGTTTCACTATAATAAGGGAACTGAAGATAATGTGCGTCGAGAATATTTTGAAAAATAATCAATTGACTCAAATTTTATTTCTTGGTCTTTCGCAGTTTTAATAATGATTTTGAAAGATTAAACTTGTACTGTTGGAAAAAAAATAAACTTGTACTGTTGGTATCATGTAGTGTCTGGACCAATATTGCCTGTAATAAAAGATTTTATATATAGATGCCTTTCATCTTTTTGGTGTGGTCTTTTCTCCGTGAATTGTTAGAATTAGGTGCTGAAATCACAAGTTGGTTTATAAAAAGAAATTTATTAAGCAGGGAGCAACTGAATACAAACTGGAGGGCTATAAAAGCCACTTTTCACTTTGCCCTTACCTCTGAAATTTGGCCAAATAAAAGGCATCTTGTATTGAATGACATAGGAATTCCCAAGGGACTCCTCTCCATTTCACTGAAAGGAGTTATGTTAGCAGGGAAGGAAGATGGTGAAGTAAGACAGTGAGGGCTGTGGGAATCCACTGAGGAACCACACCCAGGACAGCTTTGTTGTTGAAAGAGATCTTGGAGGGCTTAGGCAGGACATACAGGATATGCTGCCAGCCTAACAGCTAGGCTGGCCTGCAGGACTTGGACAAGCAAATGGGGACACTAGAGTGGTGTTAATGTAGTGGAAGGACTTACAGGATGGGATCTGCTGGGCTGGGCTCTAGAACCTGTCAGCCTGCAGGCAGAGTGAGTGTGGGATGCTGCATGTGCTATGGGTTCCAGGTGGGAAGCAGCAGCAGAACCAGAGGTCCAGGGTCAGAAGCACCCCTACAAGTGGTTAGCAGGGCCTTTTCTTCACACAGGAAAAGGCCCCAAGACCAGTTATTTTTTGCCATGTGTACTAGGGAAGTGTTCTACCACTGAGCTACAACCCCAACCCAAGAATCCCCGAGCCTCCAAACTCTGCATTTTCTGTGCCTCGGCTTTCCACTTTCTGAGCAGTTCTTTGTGCTCTGAACCATCCTTTCAGTACATTCCATTTCTGCCTAAATCAGCCAGTTTCATGCTGTGATTTACAGTTAACAACTCTGCCTGGTATGGCCTTCATTTCAGTATTAGGAAGTAAAAGTTATTCAATGTTGAAATCACACCTGTATCTTAGAAATGAATGGCTCATTGGGCAAATAAAGTGGTGAGAAGGAACAGAGGAAAGGGGGAAAAAGTCAGCTAAACTCCAATCCCACATTGATAATAGAGGAAATAGGAATAATTGGTGTGTCTTTTTGAACATGTTATAAAGCTTTTTTTGAGGCAATGTCTTCCTATATAATTCAGGCTGGCCTTGCCTCCCAAGGCCAGGGTTTCAGCTCAGTGGCACAGAGCCTACCTGGCAAGCGTGAGGCCATGGAGTTCAATTCCCCGTACTCCACCCAAACAAGTGCTAAGGTTACAGACATGTACCACCAGGCCTAAGTTGGGGAAATTATTTTTGAGATTCAATTTATATAACATCCTACCAGGGATTGAACTCAGGACCTTGCACTTGTCAGGCAGGCACTTAGTCTACTGAGCTATCTCCCTGGCCCCAACCTTTTTTTTAGACACAAAAAAGGCTGGCCTTAAATTTGTAATCCTCTAGTTTTAGTCTCCCAAGGGTTGGGATTCCAGGTGTGCCACCACACCTGGCCACACTTCACCATTCTTACATGTACAATCCCGTGGTTTTTATAGTATGTTCACAATGTTGTATTCTAATTATAATAATCTTTAGAATATTTTCATTACCTAAGAACCCCTTAGCCCACCTGTCTTAATTACTCTTCTCCTTGCTGGGACAAATACCTGTCGCCCGAAGTGAGGGAAGGAAGGGTTTATATAGCTCACAGTTGCTGGAGGTTTCATAGTTTATTGCAGCCTGAATTACATAGCAAGACCTCGAGACACTGCTGCGTCGCTGTGTCCTGGATGATCCACTCCATACGTCCAAGAGAGCCCGCAGGCTTGGTGGGGGCAGCATGTGTCGTCAGTTTAACAGTTCGCACCTCTCCGGCCCCGCCCCTTGAGCGCCGCCCTGGTCCTCTGGCCCCGCCCCTCAAGCCGCTGGTTCTCTTCTAGCTGCTTTTGCCCTAGGAGGCTTTGGGGGGACAAGTAGACACAAACTCTTAAGACCACCATTCCCTAAATCTGCCCCCTACCTTGCCTAACAAAGTAAAAGTAAGCATTAATCTGTTTCTATGGATTCTCCTGCATATTTCATGTAAGTGGAATTACACAAATGCTTTTGACCTGCTTCTTTAGCAGTTTGGAGGTTCATTCTTTCCCTTGGCATAGCGTTTGAAGGTGTCTTGGCATGTATCAGTATGTCATTGGGTTGGTTTTGTGGGGGTTTTTTTGGTGGAATCGGGGATTGAACTCAGGCCCTTGCGCTTGCCAGGCAAGTGCTTATTCCACTGAGCCATCTCCCCAGCCCCTGTCATTGGGTTTTATGGCTAAATAATACTCCTTTGTCTGGAGAGATCACATTCTGTTTGTCCCTTCATCAGCCGATACATTTGCATTGTTTCTACTTTCTGCATATATGGATACTCACATTTGCAAGTTTTGTGTCTACAGCTTTGCTGGCTGCTGTGAGCTGCCCCATCTACCTGAAAAAGTATGCAGGTGAGTCCGTCCTATTCTCAGAAGTCTAATAGGAACCCTGTGACTGGTAGCCTGGGTGTTCGCCCTCATCCTCCCCCTTCCTGGGGCTGTGTACCCAATGAAGACCCTTTATTTTGAATAGAGTCCTTGATGTTCTTTTGACTTAGTTCCAGGGACTTGCCTCAGTTGAAAAACTGAGGGAGAGCATATTGCCCAAGCAGCTGGTGCAGGCTGCAAACACTGTGCTGGGCAGGTGAGATGAGAACCCAGGCCTCTCGTGAATATCTGCCACAAAGGATGAACACCAATCTGTAAAGGCCCATTCTGGGGGGCTGGCCAAATAGCTCGGTGGATTAAAGCACCTGGAAGCAGGTGCAGGGGTCGGGGGTTCAATCCCTAGGCCTGCTGTGCAGGCCCCGCTCCTGGGGTGTGTTGAGACAGCAATTGAGACTGTGCATGGTGGCATGCACCTGTAATCCCAGCTCTTGGGAGGCTGTAAACAGGCAGATCACTACAATTCCGATCTAGTAGTGAGACCCTGAACCCATGTAGACCCTTCCCTAACATCCCCCCCCAAAAAAAAAGCCCATTCTGGGGTCATGATACAAAGTATCAAAGAAATACCACACCAGTATCTAAAGTATCCACGAGGGCTGGGCTTCTCTCCTACTTTGCCTGTGATCTTGGACCATGCTAGATACCTACTACGTAAGTAAATGCTTGGACCCTTTAACAATTAAATGAACAGAGCTGAGTATGGCGGTACATGACTGTAATCAACACTCCAGGAAGCTGAGGTAGGAGGATGGCAAATTTAGGCTTAGCTGGGTAATTTAGCAACAGCTTGTTTCAAAATGAAAACTTTAAACCAGGAGTGGTAGAGCACTACTATAATGCCAGCCTTTCAGAGGCTGAGGCAGGAGGATTGTTGCAAGTTTGAGTCCAGTGTGGGTTACAAAGTGAGCTCAAGGCCATCTTAACTGCATAGCAAAACCCTGTCTCAAAATCACCACCACCACCACCACCAAACCCTTCCTCTAAAAAAAAAAAAACAACACTTTTTAAATAGGGCTGGGAATATACCAGGCAGCTGTGGGTTCCATCCCTAGTACCACTAAATTAATAAATAAAATTTAAAAAGCTGGAGGTATAGCTGATCGATAGAGTATTTGCCTAGCATGCTCACCTGGCTCAATCCCCAGCATCACTTAAAAAATAAAGGTTAAGGGTCATGGTTATAGCTCAACTGCATTAGTGCCTGCCCAGCAAGCGCAAGGTCCTAAGTTCAATCCCTGGTACCAGAAAAAAATTAAATCATGGTATAAATTTGATAATGGCATTAAAAATGGTCATGGAAGGCTGGGGATATAGCTCAGCAGCACAATACAAGGTCATGAGTTTGATTCCTGGTACTAAAATGGGGGAGGCAGGCTCAGATTCTGGTTAATGAGGACAAGATGGAGCTGAACTAACCTTTCAAGGCAGTGACCCCAGATGCTCAGAAAGAGCAGAGGAAACAGCACACTCGTTTAATCTTGGGTGATTCCTTGCTACTAAAACAGAATCCCCCGCATTATTTCACAAGGGATTGTTGGTCTGAGATAAACTGGGCAGCAAAAGGATTTTGAACCTTATAAAGGCTTGTGCAAATGACAGCTGTCTTGTGGAGGCACTAGACAGATTCTGTTCTGGCAACCCATGATGAGTCAGAGCTGGTGATGTGACCATGTTTGTCTGTTAGTAACATACAGTACCACGTGACTCAAATCTATGCAAAGAAATCAAGAGAGCTAGAAAGGATAAATCAGAAAGTTAATAAACCTCACCAACAATATATTCTCTCAAGCTTATAAACACAAGATTATGTAAGAACAATAGTTGGGGGCCAGTGAGATAGCTCAGTGCTCTAAAGAGCCTGCTTAGGCAAGCTTAGACAAACACAGGGAACTGCAATTTGGTTCCTGGCACCACATGTTGCGCCAGTCCCATCCCCAGAGAGGGCTGAACCAGCCACAAAGAAAAAAAGAAGAATGGTCAGGTATGTAACAAATAAGGGTAGTAATAGATCAAAAAAAGGGAGCAAGAACTAGAGGTATAATCCTCCTGGAAATTTAGTACAAATCTGAAGCAGATTCTGAAAAAAAAATATCTCTAATCTACAAAGCAACTTTTAAGTCTAAAATTTAGGTGTTAAAAATCATTTAAGAAGGGCTGGTGAGATGGCTCAGTGGTCTAAAGCACCTACTTAGAATAAGCTTAGCAAATCACAGGGACCACGGTTCAATCCCCCAGCACCACATGCCAGCCAGCCCTGCC